GCTGTTTCTTTTAACGAAGGAGGAAAGAATCGCTGAAGGAATTCAAAATGTTCATAACTTATTCCTAAGTTAACATACGTGCTAATATATTAGGATACAAGTTGGAGGGATATTTTTGAATTATTACAAAATGAAACCTATACGAAGACTTCCAGAAGGCTGAAAAATTAAATGTGGTAGGAGGCTTCCAAAGCGGCCTCTCTGGCAGAGTAGCAAGGTTCCAAGAACCATGTCAAGACAAAGCTATTTCTCAGGCATGACCTTCGTGATTGTTTTTATGTCTCAGACTCCCATGAATCCTACCTGCTTTCCAATCCTGGTTATGCAGCCCTCTTACTGACTCCATGTGCAACCTGGTATTCTTGCAGCCGGTTTTTTCTTTTGGTTGAGCAATCGTGAGTGTTTTTCTGTTGTTTCTAACCAAACATACTGATGGATACAGGAGGTGGCAGATGTAGGTATTATTTACGTCTATAAAGTGAAAGGAAATTTCTTAGAGAAAAAATGTAGAAAAGGAGGAAACAAGGCCACAATCTGGAGCATATCAACAAGTAGAGGAGTTTAGAAGAAGAGGAGACAGGAAATAACTCAAAGAATAGGATCTATCCTGGAAGGAAGATCACCAGAAGAGGATGGTTTCATGGAATCCACAAGATTTCAAGAGATCGATAGTGACCAGCACGTTCAATGCTACTAAGAGGGCAAGCCAGGTCAGAGGGATGATCATTGGATTTGACATCGTGTAAGTTACTAAAGAGCATGAAAAACAAAAAAAGCATATTGGAGGACAGAAGGCCATGCAAGACATCGGAGGTGGAGATGAGGAAGTGGTGACAACCTGTTCAGACAACTTACCAGAAAAGTTTTGCTGTGAAAGGCAGCAGGTATGTAGGAGAACAGCTGGTAGGGAAGTGTTGCCAAGGGAAGGTATTTGTTTAAAATGGAGGACAGTGGAGCATAATTATATGCTGATGGGAATAACCACTGGAGCAGGAGAATGTGAAGATGCAGAGAAACAGTGGACATCTGCAGGAATACAAACTGTGAAACAGTGAGGGGTAAAGATAGGATCAACCAGAGAGGCTGACTTTGTTGAAAATATGAGCCACCAGCCCCATGCGTCATGCTCTCAGTTAAAGCCATACTGATAACCTCCATCCCCGGGGATGGCCAAACTGAGAATGAGGGATTGGCAGGGCAGACATGTCCAGAGGATGAGAAAATGAAGTTTGAAGTCCACAGGATCCAGGCTGAGTAACGAAGGTTAATGTAAACTGACAAATTCAAATTTTGAGAAATGTATCGGTCAGAGATATTTTTAATTTTTTAAATTTAATTTTATTTTTTTCTGCAGATGGGGTCTCGCTGTGATGCCCAAGCTGGTCTTGAACTCATGGCTTCAAAGTGTAGCCTCCCAAAGCTCTATGCAGTGGTGCTGTCATAACTCACTGCAGCCTCAAACTCCTGGGCTCAAGTGATCCTCCCGCGTGAGTCTCCCGAGTAGCTGGGACCACAGATACGTGCCACCATATAAGGCTAATTTTTTTCGATTTTTATAATTTTAGAGATGAGGTCTCGCTACATAGACCAGGCTCGTGTCCAACTCCTGGCCTCAAACAATCCTCCTGCCTCAGTGTCTTGCATAGCTGGGGTTATAGGTGTGAGCCACTGCACAGAGCTAGGTGAGGGATTATGTGACACTCATAGCTCCTTAGTGTTTGGGGATTGTCTCTGGCTGTTCATGTGTTCACAGTGAGGTGGAGAGATAGACAGATCCCATTACTGAGAAATAAAGAAATCCCTACAATGAAGCAGATTAATGGAGGGGACTTCCTCCTTTCCAGGGAGAGAAAAGGGCAGTGCTCAAAACCGGAAGAAAAGCCATGAACAGGAATTCACCGGAAATGGAATGTCCTCAGAAGATCTTATCTTTTCTGTGGGAGGCAGGGGGTGGGTGATTCTTTTTGGATTCTAGCAGCATGGATACTTAGCCATCGCTCGCTAGTAGTTTGTTCCACTGTCATTTCATGTAGTCATTATTGATCCTTCACTGAAGTCTGTAACTGGCATAGCGTCTACGGTCCTGTGAGTGGTGTTTTTGGGGATTTAAGGAGCAGGGCAGTGAAGCGAAGCGTTGCCTTCCTGGCATTGCCATTCCCCATTGGTCCTTCTCCAAGGGAAACTGATCGTGGTCATCCAGACAGAGACCAGCAGCCGAGTGGATCTGAGATCCCCTGAGAGGGGTGTGAAACACAGGGGAGTCACTGGCAGGTGAGCACTCAGGAGTGCATATGAGACAAACCCCCTGACCCAGAGGAGACTGGATGTCGCGCAACATCCGTGGAGGTCGGGAAGATGGGCAGGACTTCATGTGGTTCCTTCTGGCGTAGGGCATGGCTATGGGTGTGGGTTGCACCATTGCAGTGAAGTGGAGTTTATTTAGATATTTTGGACTGAGGGGTTCCAGGACATAGGAAATGGAGGGTGGCTGGGTCCCAGGAGAGGAGCGTGCAGCTGGACAAAGGGACTTCTGAGACTCGCTGGAATAGACGGAAAGAAGAGAGGGGAAGTTGGGGGCATTTGCCCAGCTTTTGAGTTGTTGTTTATCACAAATTTATAGTGTGGGACGTCTCATGTCTTGCCTGGCACCCTGTTTGTCCAGCCTCTGGTAAGGGGAGCCAATACACAGGAGGTGGTGGGCTTCTCAGGAAGAGGGGCAGGGAAGAGGCCTCTCATTAGTTGGGCTGCTTCCAGAAGTGGGAGACTACCAGAAACCTCCCTCCTCGGAGTCTCCCCAAGGCTCGGCGGAACAGGAGTGTGGCAGGAAGGGGGAGTCCTAGGAACTGGTCCCATGGTCTGGGCGGAGGTCTCCCAGGCCACAGAGGAGAAGAGGGAGGAGGTGTGTCCTATGTGACTCTGGCAGGAAGGATCAGGGAGCCCTTCTGAGACAGCGCTTCTGAAATCGGGCTGGCTGGAACTTTCTGTCAGAAAATCGGAATGACTGAAAAAACTCCCCTACTATGATAGAGGCTAGAGGGTGGGAAAGAGGAAAGTGAGTTGGGGTAGCGGGAATCCTAGGTTCCACAGGCATGGTTTACAGGTACAATACATTGTTGGTAACATGATGGCTCGGGGACAAACAAGCCTGTCTCCAAGCCGTGCAGGTGCATTGAGAGGATGTAGAAATTCTGGATTCATGTCGGCCCGTCTGCATTTCTGCCCTCCTCCACCCAGCATTGAGGGGAGGGCAGGGTAGAACTAAAGCGAATGTTCTTTTCAATCCCTGAATAGGGGCTTGCGTACCTCAGAGGAAGACAGAACACGCACATTTCTCTGCGTTTGTCTTTGTCTCATCCTTAGTCTCTAGACCATTAGCCCCTGTTGCCATGGGAACTGAAGCTGAGTGTCTGATGCTTTCATTGGGCTGTGGGAGAAAAGCAGAGTTGGTCCTTGAAATAAAGGCCCCTGGGAGAGGGGATTCTAGCAAGGCAGTCACATCGAAAGAATTCACAATTCCCACAGAGGTATTGATCCCTGCGATTATTAGTACACACACACACCCCACACACACACACTCCCACCCCATACACACACACACAGGCTTCATCCTGAACAGAGATGATGTACGGTGCATCACACTGGCTGGCCCGTAGGGTTCTTGTGGGAGAGGCCAGGTCTCTGCCACCATGAAAGGGGTTACAACTGACACAGTCAGGGAGGGATCCCAGGAAGGGGAGTGATTCCCTTAAATTTGCTTGTTGAAACAGGCAGGGTAAAGGAGGATCCGGTGCAGAGCTTGGATTCATCAGAGGTGGCTGTTGATGTGACCGGTCGCCCTGTTTGGGTGGGAAGGCCCCGAATGACACATGCAGCCAGGCAAGAGCGGTCCCGTGCACCCTTTGCTCTTGGCTTATCCAGCTCCTCCCTCTGAGATAGTCCCACAGGGAGCCCCAGATTGACCTGGAATGGGGATCCCCTCTTTCCAGAGGCACAGTAGAGTTCTCAACGCTGGCCGTTTTCTCCTCCTTACCCTTTCTCCCTCACTGCCCCTTCATCTTGCCCCCCGCTCATCAATCACCCTTTGGTAAAGGACCTCTCCTCTTGTTCCTCGCTCTTTACTCCCTCATCCATTCCTCTACACTCCTTTCCTCTTTCCTCTCTCTTCCTACCTCACTTCAGCCTCCATCATCACCCCTCATCTCCCCTCTCTGCTCTCTCGCCTCCATGCCTTGTCTTTCCCTTTGTCCTCCCTCCGAGTTCCCATATCCCTCACTGCCCTTTCTCTCCCTCTTTCCTTTCGCATGTTGTCCTCCCTGGTTTTCCCCTCCTTTTGCTTTTTCCTTCTCTCTATGCCGTTCCTTCCCCTCACCCTCCCCACCCTCCCTTCCCCTGATACTTACCCAGTGACTAATCCTTAGTTCCTTAAGTGGCACTGGGCGTAACGTGGGCCCTATGTGTTTAGCTTTCAGCCTCGGAGGGCAGTACATCCTAAAGTGAATCACCAACTTAATTATTCCTCTGCAAATTATCATCAGTGATATGAGATTCAACGACAAGGAGCTGTGAGAGTGCACAGGAAGGGAGCTCATTTCTGGGGTGGGCTCAGTGAAGAAAATGTCATTGATGATAGTCTCTGTTCTGCCATCCACCATCCTCTGCTTGCCTCTTTCTGTCACTGCCTTCCCTTTTATGTTGGGGACAACTCTCCTCTTCTATCTTTTGCAGCAGGGTGGGACTCCTCTCATGGTGTCCTGCCCTCCACACCCCAATGTGTGAGTTCTCATGAAGTCCAACCGGATGCCCATTCCCTGCAACCGGAGCACCCAACAGACCAAAGAGCACGAGGGGTAGTTTCAACTCGCCCGGGGACCCTTGTTCTTGCTCCCAGGTTCCCCAGGGCACCTTTGGTCATGTACTTCACTCACCTCTTCTCTTTTTCGCCTTCACTTCTCCCTTCTCTTCCCCCTCCCTCTTTCCTGGCTGCATCCTTCTTTCTTAAGGCTTTACCCCATAAAGACAAAGAAACTGGCTGAGGAGACAAAAGAAAGAAAGTAGCAGAAGATGGTAAGGAAACAGGTGAGTGACATCTGACTTAGCTGATTAAGAGAACTTGATCTTTTTGGAGGGCGTGGCGGGTGCTTGCTCTGTCGCCCAGGCTGGAGTGCAGTGGTACGATCATAGCTCCCTGTGGCCTTGAGCTGCTGAGCTCAAGGGATCCTCCAGCCTCAGCCTCCAGAGTAGCTGGGACTACATGTTAATTTTTTTTTTTTTTAATGTTTTGCTTTTTTAGAGACAGAGTCTCACTTGTGTTGCCAAGAGAGCTTGAGCATCAACTGGCAGTGAGGACAGCCGGAAAGTAACCGACTTACCCCTCTCACCAGACCTTCCAACTGTCTGCCACACTGGCATTGCCGTGTATCCCTGCATCTTGTTGGTAATGGTGGGGGCTGTAAATTGCATGATTGCTCTAGAAAGTGTAGTTAAAAATCACTTAGACACCCAGATCCCCTCTCAGCTCCTCGTAGCATGACAAATCACTCTCCCCCAACTCTGGGAGTTGGAGGACAAATGTACTGTCTGCACAGCATGAACCAGCAGATTTATGGGCTTTGGAACTTCAGACTCACTGGAAGGCATACATCCCAACCCAGCGTAGGGATTTCAGTTGCTGTCTACAGCAATCTGCAGTCCCTCACCTCCGCTGGAGTTTGGCGTCCAGATTGCTGGCATCTTGCCCCTTCTCAGAGATGCAGGAGAGTCTTCCTGTGTAATCTAAACTTCCCCAGAGAGGAGACTTAGTAATATTGGCAGGCAAAGACCTCTGGAGTTTGCTTCGTTAGTAAGCTCAAAACATTTTCTCATTTCAACGTTAGTTTTTCTTAGAGCCATGGGTTACGAAGGAGGATGTTTCTTAATTTACAAACACATACGGGGGGTTTGTAATGATCTTTTGTTATTGATTTCTAGATCCCATTGTGGCATTGTGGTCAGAGAATATACAACTCGCTGAAGAATCCATTGTTTATGGACATTCCTGGGATTGTATTCATTTAAATATCTTTATGTACATTGTAGTGGAATATAATACAAAAATGGAGTTGCATGAAAAATGAAGGTACAGCGGTTCCTCTTTGTTATTTGCAGTTGGCTAAGAGTGGTTTTATCATAAGTGCGGTGGTCATTTAAAAAATCAAACCATGAAATACCCTTCCTGCATCTGTAGGGAATATCCTATTTTTTCTCTTTCACACATTTACTTCTGGAGAATAGATTTTTCAAGCGCTGAACCGCTTCATTTTCTAGAATACTCGGAGGCTTTTGTTTGTGATACGTTTTTCATTTTTGGAGATTTAACTGATTTGTTTTGCTAATGCTTTATCCAAGATTTCCTTCTTCTGTGCTTATGTGAAAGATAGGCCTGTGCATTTCATTTGTCTTACCATGCCCTTTAAGGTTTTTGCCTCATAAAATGGGATGGGAAGCATTTCCCCTTTTTTATGTTACCTGGCAAGAAGGTAAGATTTGACATTCTTTCCTTCACAAATGTTTTGTAGAATTGTAATCGAGGG